AGCGTAATCGTGTTTTTGAGGAGTCCGCTCGCCCTCGATGCCGTGCGATCCGCCACCCTATAATAGTAATGCGTGTATTAAATGAAGCTGATTCAGCCAAAACGTCCAGCTCGCTTCGAGTACCTCGAAAACGCTTCACGTCATCCGCCAGCGAGGTTCGGGGTGCGATGCGGACCCCATAAGTAGAGAAAAACAGATTCATCAAGACGGCCCACGCCAGAGGCGCTTCCCGTCACACCTCGACGATTGTTTGGTTACCAACGAAGATGTGAACAGGGCGCTCCACCGTGGCGGTCTGGCGGTGGAGGGCCAGGGTTTCGGCTCTCTGCGCCAACTGGGCCAGGCCTTGTTCCCGTGTCGAGTAGTTGAAGCGCTGGTTGGGCCGCAAAACGCGCCGTAGTTCGCCAGGGCCAGGAAAAGGGGCGCGCTTGGTGCGAGCAGGCCCCGTCGGTGGCCGCGTAAACCTATCGCCGCTCCATTGTTGTTGAACATTATTAATTCTAAAGAATAATTATTGTTGGGCCCCCTGGTGCACGCCCCCCCTGCGCCGCCTAGGCCGCAGCTGCATTTTCATCATTTTCGTGAGGAACCCTCAGGTAAAACGATGTGATCCAGATCCGGTTGTTTTGTTGTAATCCGTTTTCCCTTGCAAAAAACACTATAAAATTACATTTCTTGTTCTAATATAATCAAATTTCAAGAATCCCTTGCAAAAAATAAGGTAAAGTGGACATTCGCGCGCGCAAGACGAAATCCTTCCAAAAGCTTAGTGTTCGGAGCGATTTTAACATAAAAACATCAAAAAACCAATGGTTTTTCAACAAAAAAATGTCAAAATCTCATCCCGCGCGCTCTTGCGGATTCGTAGGAAACCCAACACTTTTTAAACATTTCTGTCAAACGGGCTTTTGCGAGCAACTTTTTCGAACTTCTGCGACAACGGTTGCGCACCTGCCAGGGCCATCATCCCTGTCAAATAATACCATGCGGGACACATTCGTTTTTTCTTCGCGCGCGCACGCCGAAATCTCCAAAAACCATTGGGTTCTTAAGAATTTTAGCACCGCGCATCATAAAATCACACGAATCGCACCGTAGGTCCTCGAAAAACACCTGCACGACTTTTCAAAATTTCCACCCGCGCGCGCTGTCCGAATCCTAAAAAAACCAATGGTTTTCCAACATTTATGTTACATGAGCTCGCGCGAGCTACTTTCGCACGCTCTTGCAACGGGGTTCGCGCGCCTGCCAGGGGCCAGAATCCCTTGCGGTTGCGCCATATGTTGCGCCCTCGGCCGCCGAGAATATAACGTCCCACATCCCTCAGGAATTTGCCCTAAAGATGTGATCAACTATCTTGTGAGTACGTATCATGTGTATCATGTGTATCATGTACCATATGCATCATATGCAACAGATGTTCTGTGGAAGGCTTAACAACTTCTGTGGGTTAACAAGGCTTAACAACTTCTGTGGGTGTACGAACGTAGGCTTAACAACTTCTGTGGGTGTGTACTCCACGCCAGTGTAGTAGCCACGGTCGTCCGCAGGCCACGAAGTGAAGTGTCCGAACGTCATAGGGCGGGAAGCTGGGTGTGGGTGGTGGCGAAGAGTCGTGTGGATATTTGGTAGAGCTTGCACTGCCCCCCCACAAAGTGGGGGTATTGGCTGGCGTCGCATGAAAACCCTGGCACTGGTGAGAACACTGAGCGTTCGGGTGAAGTGATTGTTGTTGTTGTTGTTGTTGTTGTTGTTGTTGTTGAACCTTAATGACCCAACAATTTTTTATTGTTGGACCCCTTAAATCCGCTTTGGCGTTCTCGCCTAGGCGCCGGCTGCATTTCCTCTGAAATTGAGGCTCACGCTCAGGCGTTTCGGGGGTGCGCCAAAAGCGGCCCCCCAACAACAACAACGCTCCGGCTCGATACTTCCTCCTTTTTTATTCAGGCCCGGTGCTTTTGCTCGCCGCCGAGAGCCCGCTTCCCCACCAGACCGGCGCTCCGGCTCGATACTTCCTCCCTTTTTACTCATCATCGGCTCTCTCTCTCTCTCTCTCTCTCTCTCTCTCTCTTTCTCTCTTTCTCTTCGGCTTCCGCAAGCGCCCCCCCCTACAACAACGGCGCTCCCGCTCGAGACTTTCTCATTGTTTACTCTAGACTGGGGCCCTTGTTGCGGCATCCCCTCTGGGGGGCTTCCAGAGTCCCTGTGGAAACCCTACTTCTTCCCTTTTTACGGCTCCCCTCTTCGGCTTCCGCAAACGCCCCCCCTACAACAATCCCGTTCGATACTTCCTTGCCTTTTGCGCAAGACTGGGGCCCTCGTTTCGGCATCGCCTCCGGGGGGCTTCCAGATGCCTTGTGAAACCCAGCGTTCCTGCTCCTCGTCCCCGTCCTCCCCCTTGGTCCTCCCCCCCCTCCCCCTCCCCCCCCCTCCTTCCCAATATTCGCTCCTCCCCCTCCGTCGTCCTCCTCATCCTCCTCTTCCTTTTTCTGCTTCTCCT